GTGGTGTTGTTGTCCTTGTACGGTGGTGTTGTTGTCCTTGTACGGTGGTGTTGTCCTTGTACGGTGGTGTTGTTGTCCTTGTACGGTGGTGTTGTTGTCCTTGTACGGTGGTGTTGTTGTCCTTGTACGGTGGTGTTGTCCTTGTACGGTGGTGTTGTTGTCCTTGTACGGTGGTGTTGTTGTCCTTGTACGGTGGTGTTGTTGTCCTTGTACGGTGGTGTTGTTGTCCTTGTTCGGTGGTGTTGTTGTCCTTGTTCGGTGGTGTTGTTGTCCTTGTACGGTGGTGTTGTTGTCCTTGTACGGTGGTGTTGTTGTCCTTGTACGGTGGTGTTGTTGTCCTTGTTCGGTGGTGGTGTTGTCCTTGTACGGTGGTGGTGTTGTCCTTGTACGGTGGTGTTGTTGTCCTTGTACGGTGGTGTTGTTGTCCTTGTACGGTGGTGGTGTTGTCCTTGTACGGTGGTGTTGTTGTCCTTGTACGGTGGTGTTGTTGTCCTTGTACGGTGGTGTTGTTGTCCTTGTACGGTGGTGGTGTTGTCCTTGTACGGTGGTGTTGTTGTCCTTGTACGGTGGTGTTGTTGTCCTTGTACGGTGGTGTTGTTGTCCTTGTACGGTGGTGTTGTTGTCCTTGTACGGTGGTGGTGTTGTCCTTGTACGGTGGTGTTGTTGTCCTTGTTCGGTGGTGTTGTTGTCCTTGTTCGGTGGTGGTGTTGTCCTTGTACGGTGGTGTTGTTGTCCTTGTACGGTGGTGTTGTCCTTGTTCGGTGGTGGTGTTGTCCTTGTACGGTGGTGGTGTTGTCCTTGTACGGTGGTGTTGTTGTCCTTGTACGGTGGTGGTGTTGTCCTTGTACGGTGGTGTTGTTGTCCTTGTTCGGTGGTGGTGTTGTCCTTGTACGGTGGTGTTGTTGTCCTTGTACGGTGGTGGTGTTGTCCTTGTACGGTGGTGGTGTTGTCCTTGTACGGTGGTGTTGTTGTCCTTGTACGGTGGTGTTGTTGTCCTTGTACGGTGGTGGTGTTGTCCTTGTACGGTGGTGGTGGTGTCCTTGTACGGTGGTGGTGTTGTCCTTGTACGGTGGTGTTGTTGTCCTTGTACGGTGGTGTTGTTGTCCTTGTACGGTGGTGTTGTTGTCCTTGTACGGTGGTGGTGTTGTCCTTGTACGGTGTTGTTGTCCTTGTACGGTGGTGTTGTCCTTGTACGGTGGTGTTGTCCTTGTACGGTGGTGTTGTTGTCCTTGCACGGTGGTGTTGTTGTCCTTGTACGGTGGTGTTGTTGTCCTTGTTCGGTGGTGGTGTTGTCCTTGTACGGTGGTGTTGTTGTCCTTGTACGGTGGTGGTGGTGTCCTTGTACGGTGGTGGTGTTGTCCTTGTACGGTGGTGGTGTTGTCCTTGTACGGTGGTGTTGTTGTCCTTGTACGGTGGTGGTGTTGTCATGGTACAGGTCTGTTAAATCTAGAAAAGCAGTGTTTAAACCTCCAAACAGCGGGGTTAAACCTCCAAACAGCGGTGTTAATCCTCCAAACAGCGGTGTTAAACCTCCAAACAGCGGTGTTAAACCTCCAAACAGCGGTATTAAACCTCCAAACAGCGGGGTTAAACCTCCAAACAGCGGTGTTAAACCTCCAAACAGCGGTGTTAAACCTCCAAACAGCGGTGTTAATCCTCCAAACAGCGGTGTTAATCATGCAAACAGCGGTGTTAATCCTCCAAACAGCGGTGTTAAACCTCCAAACAGCGGTGTTAAACCTCCAAACAGCCGTGTTAAACCTCCAAACAGCCGTGTTAAACCTCCAAACAGCGGTGTTAATCCTCCAAACAGCGGTGTTAAACCTCCAAACAGCGGTGTTAAACCTCCAAACAGCGGTGTTAATCCTCCAAACAGCGGTGTTAATCATCCAAACAGCGGTGTTAATCCTCCAAACAGCGGTGTTAAACCTCCAAACAGCGGTGTTAAACCTCCAAACAGCGGTGTTAATCCTCCAAACAGCGGTGTTAAACCTCCAAACAGCCGTGTTAAACCTCCAAACAGCCGTGTTAAACCTCCAAACAGCCGTGTTAAACCTCCAAACAGCCGTGTTAAACCTCCAAACAGCCGTGTTAACCTCCAAACAGCGGTGTTAATCCTCCAAACAGCGGTGTTAATCCTCCAAACAGCGGTGTTAAACCTCCAAACAGCGGTGTTAATCCTCCAAACAGCGGTGTTAATCCTCCAAACAGCTGTGTTAATCCTCCAAACAGCGGTGTTAAACCTCCAAACAGCCGTGTTAACCTCCAAACAGCGGGGTTAAACCTCCAAACAGCGGTGTTAATCCTCCAAACAGCGGTGTTAATCCTCCAAACACCCGTGTTAACCTCCAAACATATTGCCATCAGGAATTAATCGAAATTGACAAAAATGTGCATAAAAAATGACTTAAAAATACTAGAATTTCAGATACCCAACAAATAAATAAAATTACGCGTAATAAAGCCCTTTTTATTCAGTCAATATCAACAACAGAGAATGTTTATAAATTACAAAATTTATACGTAATGAAATGGTAATTGTCCACAGCGCTGAAGTTCACCGGCAACTCCACTTTTTTGTTATTTTGTATTAAAATGACGAAGATGTAATTTTGCCCCGTGACCCTCTGAAGCCCAGGGCTGGTTATTGCTCACACGATATTATTGCTTACATTTTCATAGTTATTTTTTGTATCTGTTTTCGGTGTTTTTTCCACTCCTTTCTTATCCTCTTCCCTTTGTTTTCTTGTTTCTTATCCTGTTCCTCTTGCTTTCTCCTTTCATATCCTGTTCCCTCTTGTTTTCTTCTTTTTTTCTTGCTTATCTTCTTGTCTCCTTTCTTTTCCAGTTTTTCTTGCTTTCTCCTTTCTTATCCTGCTCCGCTTGCTTTCCTGACATGTACCTCTTGCTTCCTTGTCATGTACCTCTTGCTTTCGTTCTTATCGTGTACCTCTGGTTTTCTTCCTTATCGTGTACCTCTTACTTTCTTTTTTTATCCTGTACCTCTTGCTTTCGCCATCTGTTGAACGCACCCAACCCCATTTTCTGTTTTCCGGTGGAAGGTTGTGATCTTACTAACACTTGTATAGTTTCCTTCTTACTTTTCAATGTTTACTCAGAAGTGATGTGGGGGGTTACCTTGGTCGACAAGAGACAGTTCACCCAGAACAGTTCAGAACTCAAGACTTGTTCCAGTGGGAACAAGTGGGCCGAGTCGGTGGAGACTTTGAGTTGTCTATGTTAACTATTGAAGTATTGGTGATTGGATTGACGTATCCTGGGATGGTTCAGTTGGGTTACTAGATGGAATTAACGTCCATCTGCCCTCTAAGTTGAGGCTTGGTATAGGGGGAAGCCAGCCAGCGTGTTGGAGAGTAGCTGTGGTGTTCTGACACTGTGACGATACTGTGGAGGACTGGCCCGTGATCTACTGAGAAAGGTGGACTCGCCGGCGTGAGTACCTTTATATGTGTGGGAACCGACCTGTGAGATTTATATTTATTTAATTTATATGAATATATATTTACGTTAATTTATATACTTCGATAGCAATTTGTATAATGATAAGTGGACTGTATTTCTGCAATAATCTCAATCTCACAAATCGATCCTCTACACATTAGGGGGGTTTATATTAATTAAATTTATATATATGCAGCCAATCAAACTACAGTATTAGACTATATACATTGAAGAGGTTCCTTATCTTATAGTACAGCAGGTTAGTCCACCAGGTATAACTAGGGTGTAGACTCCACATTTTCCCTCTTTGAGGTAGCTTCCATCACCCTGGTAACTGATGCACAAAAGATACTTCCTCGTCTTGACCTGTCAAAAGGGCGCTAGCTATAAAGCCAGATACCTATATATGACAGGCATATCAGAGAAAATACTGTACATGGAACAATAAAGACCTGGCTTAATTACCTTTAGTTTGAGGCTATCTCGTGCTCTAACCGTCTAACCCTACCCAATGACATTAATGGCCACTAATGATAGATAATGGGTTTCGGAAAGAACACTTAACTTGATTTGTTGACAGCGTGTTGAAGATGGTACACCTTTGGCTTCCATAACACTACGTCCAAGTAAAATTAACAGGAGCCGAATTTGCTCCCGTGAGCCTCTGGTCTGATATCAACAATGGCAATGTCTAACACTCCATACTATTGACGCTACTGGCCAACATTGTCCAGATATGATAGGAGCCGAATTTGCTCCACGCGTCTCGGAGGTGACACAACAATGGCTGCCCTCCCTCACCCTGACGCCTGGCTTACATTGTCCAGATGTCAATAAGTGATAGAAGGGTCACATTTACTCTACTTTAATACTGATAATTAAGTTAATTTATATGAGATGTTTTATGATGGTAAAGTCCAAAGACTAATGTATTTAAGAATAATTCCCAGCAGAATAGCTGGTGAATTATAATAGTATGTGGTGATGATATCCCGTTTTCTTTAGACGGTAATTCCACTACAAGTTACGTTTTCTATGGGTAACTTGTTTATACAATACAGCTATTATCTGTCTGTATGATATATTAAATGGTGTCGGATTTTCCGACAATATGTATGGGCCCAAACACATCCCAGATGGTTTTTGACGCTCATGAGTGACAGGTAATGTAGCTGCTCGAACTTGCTTTCACCTGCCGTAGGTACCTGGAGTTTTACTGGGGGCAACAGGTGTTAAAGATGCCATTAATACCTGTTTGGTTTACAGAGTTGAGCAAGCACTTATCGCCAGGGGCCACAATAAACAGCCCCCTGACGAGGCTAGTATGCCTTCACGGACGTTGAGGATCAAGAAGGGGCAGTTGAGTGCTGTATTTCATGAAACTCGTCTTCTGACTGAAGAACAGGAGGGGGGGGGGACATAGCTGGGGTGTTGAGTCTTCCTTGGAATGTTGGTTTTGGTAGGTCATAGTTTGTTGCCTCAGTGTGTATTGTATTGTGGATCATCAGGGTACGCTGGTGTACTCTGATGATCCCTGTGTACCCTGATGATCCCTCCCTGATGATCCCTGTATACTCTGATGATCCCTGTGTACCCTGATGATCCCTGTGTACCCTGATGATCCCTGTGTACTCTGATGATCCCTGTGTACTCTGATGATCCCTGTGTACCCTGATGATCCCTGTGTACCCTGATGATCCCTCCCTGATGATCCTGTGTACTCTGATGATCCCTGTGTACTCTGATGATCCCTGTGTACCCTGATGATCCCTGTGTACTCTGATGATCCCTGTGTACTCTGATGATCCCTGTGCACCCTGATGATCCCTGTGTACCCTGATGATCCCTCCCTGATGATCCCTGTGTACCCTGATGATCCCTGTATACTGTGACGATAATCTCCTTCAAGAGATTGAGCCTGCTCTTCCTCCAAAATTACGTCTTCACAACTATATAAAAGACTATGGAAGAAATGTCCAACAACGACAACAAACACCAGCAAGGCTTGCCAGGGTGAGCAGAAACGTATGCAACCAGCCACCTGTTCGAACTCCAACCACCAAACTACCCGTTGATCGCTACGACTCCGCTGATTGGTCGCCGGTCTGGCTGCACCTGCCTCGCCCCCCCCAATACTACCTGATGTCTGGGGTCGCCCCAACATCAGTCCTCAGAATGTTCCGTGCTTTCGTAGCCAGCACTCCTCCCAGCTAGACGTTAGCGTGTACTGAGAGAGGTGGTGGCTTTAAGCCAATATTCCAGCACCTCCCACTTAACTTTTGTGTTGCACTTCTTATTATTTTGCCTTAACGTAACTTTTCATTTTGTCATTTAAGTATTCTTATTATTTTGATTCATTGATTTTATTATACATATTTGTTTGTGCATTATTTTCATGTTTTGATTTATTTAACGTAATTAAAATTTCATTGTTAAAGTTTACTTGTGTTTTGTGTGTCTTCTCCTTACCTTACCACAGACGAAGTTCCAGTTTTTTCTATTTTTTTTTATAACTATGTGACGAGGCCATACCCCTAGCCTTAAACAGCCGAACACCAACGCGTTACCGTCACAAGTTATATGGGGGCCTGTCCGGGAGCTTCACTCAGGTACTGGTGCTAAGTGGTAATTTATGGTAAGCGTATTTAACTTTGTTAACGTAGCTTTACTATTTTTCATTCAATTTCATTTTTTATAAGGTGCGGTGTATTGTGCAATACGAGAGTAACATATAGTGAAGGTGAGACAACTTTGGATTACGTGGTGACTGTAGGCCTCAGTCATACTCTTAATTGGTCATCTCTCCCTCCATGTTATTACTCGTATTTACCATCTATGTCCCTTGAATATTTCTCATTCTGACAGATCATCATATTGGTACCCTGGTACTGTGGTCTGCCCGGGTCAAGAGTACCCAATCTTCTGCAATCTGACTGTAGGAGGACAAAGAGGGCCATAGTTCCTCTAGCTCGAACTTTAGTTGCTGAATTGGGACCTCAGCAGCAGTTCTCGTCACCAGTTGACACCTCGCACCCCTACACGTCAGTCAGAGATGATGATACATACAACGGTAGGGAATTAGCTTATTTTTTCAGAGCACAAAAGTTCGCTAATTCTGTAAGTATCATATTAAATTCAGTGGGAAAAACTTGCTTTATGTCCTATAGAGACTTGGCAAGGTATGCCTACATCCTTGGACTACCAATTTTACTTTTGAAGCATTTAACTGTTTCATTTGTTTCGAAACTTTGTTTCATTTGTTAGTAGGATTTTCTTGCCCTTATTCTCTTACATGAGTACCGGGTACAAGATTTCCTGCGCCCTTGATTTAATTTAATCATTTAATATCTTTCACTTAACGTTAATTGTTAAAGATCACACAGGATAGGTACCAGTTGCCACGTTGTCCTGTTTCTGACATTTCATTATTGAACATTCGTGTACCTTTATTTGCTAATTTCACCATGTTTCGTCTCCAAGCTTTCCGTACAAATCCAGCAGGTGAAATAGGGACTTTAAGTCGTGCCAAGAGGACTGAACTACAAACTCTTGCACATGAGTATCAACTAGAAGTTCCCTATCAAGCCAACAAAAATGACATACACAACCTGTTGCTGGATTACTATTTAGAGCAAGGTAAGATAGACTCTGAAACTCATGAAACTTACTATATTGCAGATAAAACTGATTTGGCAACGCTGAAACTTAAACTAGAGCTGGCTAAGATTGAACGTGAGCAGCAAAAGGAAGCCCGCGAACAGCAAAGGGAAGCCCTCGAACAACAAGAACGAGCAGCTGCCATACGAAGGGAAGAACACGA